CTCGTCCGCGAATCCCTTGAAACCGTGGCGATTACCGAGACTCGCCCTTCTCGCATTGGTCCCTTCGACGACTCGTCCATGCATTTTGCTGAACTTTCCGTATTTTCGTACAAGTCACGAATATTTGTTGATCTGTTCTCCAATAATCTATTTTCCATTTTTTATTTAAAGGCTCTGTTTCGGAGCGATATACACATACATTAGCGACATTATCCATTGTCTGTTTGTTATTATACAATATTTCGTGTGTTTCCTACTTTCTCTTCTCATTTTCGAGCCGAGAAAGAGGACACATACAAAGCACGCGATGTCCTATCAATGGCGCGCATGAAACAAACTTTTAGGCTATATTCTAGTTATATTAATGTAATGAAAAGTATATAAACTCGATAGACTTTTATAATGGAAGTTCAATACGAAGGAACAAAGACAAACTTTGCGTTCGTAGATTTATGATAGATCGCAGTTTTCTAAATGACACGATTAATTGTTTCTTCTTGCATGATCTCTTGAAGCGAAAATCCACGGGTAAGATATTCGTGATGTTATCTAGTTATTCAGTTATTCAGTTTAAAATGCATTTAATCCCACCATTTGATCTCATCTTCGCAAAGTTTTGCTTCATTTCTATAGATATTTTTTTATTACGTAAATCTGTTACGAAGATGTTTACGTTACCTCGCAAGGTATTGAATAGAATTCATTTTCATGAGAAATAAAAGAAAAATGGTTATTGAAAAAGATATAAACGTCAATAAAGAGAAAACATATTCCCGAAAAGTCGAGATATGTAAAACTTATCTAACATATCATCATGGTTATAACACTTTGAATTTTTGAGTTTTATTTTTGTGTGAACGGTATAACTATTATAGATTTACAATATATAGAGCACTAAATAGATTTGTTTTCTAAATATTTCTCGGCTACGTTACCTCGGAGGAATCGCCTCCATGGTGAAATTTGGTGCGGAGTCTCGCAATTGGAAATCTTTCCCCCTCGTGCTTTCCATTTCTAACGATCGCGATGTGACGGGAGACTAATCGTTACAACGTTCCATGAACCAAGGAAACCGATTTCTATTCTTGCGTTTCTCGTCATCGATTCGAGCGATATTCTCTTAGTTGTTCGTTCGTATGGTATGGCATATCTCTGATATCAAATGCAGATCGCATCGTCGTATAATGAAAATTCTATTAACGCAAATCACGTTTTAGTTTTCTTGTCGATATCGCAAAGTCATCTGAAACATTGCAAAAATGATCGTCCCAATTTTATATAGTTATTTTTACAGACTTACATGTTTTGATATATAAATCAGGAAGCTCAGAGAATTTTATTTTAAAATTTACCCTGAAAATCATGCTAATCGTAGGACAACATATTATTTTGACGAATTTTATATGATTTTTACTATTTTTTTAAATATATACTACAACAAATTTATTGTAGTGCACAGTAAAATTTATTGTAGTGTACAGTAAAATTTGTCGAAATACTATGTTGTCCCACGATTAATAAAATTTTCAGGGTAAATTTTAAAAGAAAATTCTCTCCGTGTACTTTTTTTATAGAATTCCTCGATTAATTAACAATAAGAGTTAAAACACCGAGTAATGATTTTTTATCCACTATGTGTAATATAGGAAAGAAGAGGTATGAACGAAATAAAATAGTATGTGCATGATGATAAATCTAATAAACTGCATTAACTTAAAATTATATTATGTCTTCGCTGTAGTAATTATTCTGAAAGTAATATTTGCTAATAATATGTATTTAATGATCTTTTTTCCACGCGCAGAGGCACGTTTTTCCTATTAATGACGGCTAATGTTCTAACTTCTATTTGAGAAACTCTACTTTCTTACGAACTTGATATAATAAGAAATAACAATGGCACACGCGCGCACTTCAGTGGCTACTCAATTAAAAGTAGTTATATGACTGCAGTGGCAAGAGGTGAAGAGTCATTAACGATCAGGCACGCGTCAAACCGCAGGACAAAGTTGTGTGTGGACTCGTTTCTCCACACTTGACCAGAATGTGCACACGCGCGCATGATTTACGCACATGAATAAAGTTCACCTGCCGACAGGTACGGTATATGGACAGCCGTCGAGCAGGTTCCGGACCATTCGACAACTAAGTTATGTCGTTCAATCGACAAGCAACCCGTGTAAAGCAAACACGATATTAAGGGGATTCAGGTGTGGTCTCATCACAAAAAATAAATTATAATGTATGTTTGAAATACATTATGATATATAATAACGACATATTATATATTTTTAAACATATATAGCACTCGTGATAATTAAATTGAACTGAAACATCAGTGCCAGTCTATATATAGAAATTCTATCGTGCGAATAAAATTATACCTGTTCTCCATTACAAACAATTAATACGCGTTATCGTGAAATATGCATAAATATCGACTGCAAGATATATACTTCCGGAAAACGCGCGAATGCAAAATCGTACTGCGTCCTTCGAGTATTAAAGACGTTAATATTATACCTAACGTGGTATCCGTCTAATGTTGCATGAAATACATCATATGTATTTGTATTTTGCATAATTGCTTGTTTTTTGATAGCAAACACTCCATATTAAACGATATTATCCGACTGAATAAATAGACATTATATATAGATGCTGAAAAATTAACACAATATACAAAAATCTTTATTTTTTTTTTTTAATACTGACAATGAGTTGGATTGTTTTATAAAGATCACGATTTTGTATATTTCAGTATTATCATATGTTTCTTTTACGTAATTTCGAACATTTTATACTTATATTTATTAATTTAGAAACAGTATAGAAATGTTTTTTTAAAAGAAGAATTTCTGTTTCTAAATTTCGATTAATCTAAAATATCTAAACAGAGGTGAGACATTTTAAATATTTTTTTTATTAATTTTATCTTTTTAATCTCTTTAATTTAAATCTCTCTATTATTTCCGTTTATATTTCCAGTGAAATCTTTCATCTCTTTATTTCTTCTGATGTTTATTGTTGTTTAACAAGACAATTTTAGCAATCGCTTGATCTTCTTGCCTGTGATCTTATGATTGTTTAAAATAAAAAAGGAAACATTGATATTCAGCTCGCGTTTGCATGGAAATTTGTCATTTTCGATATTTTTTAGATGGCGAAATAGATTGAGATTTTATATGCAGTAATGTAATATATAAAAATATTTAATCTAGTTATTATAGAAATACAATATCGAATCGATATGTTTGGAAGATGTTCACGCGTGATTGTTTTGATCTCCTTTTGTTTGCCCAAAACTTACACGATGAATCGTTATTTTCGAGATACCTCTTCGAAGCATCTCTCTGTTGTCATGAATTTTACTGATGTTGTAAAATGCGATCACAAAAGATTTGTTAGAATTTTAAAATCTATTTTATTGATTATTTTAGAATTTAACAGCATATATTTTATTAAAGCAATAAGTTGAATATTGAAAACGATGTATGTCCTTATTATTATTCAATTATCTTGTTTCGCTCTATTCCGTTCTACTGCATCATAAGTTATCGATTTACAAAAAAAGGGTTAGATAAATTCCTCCAATCCTCCATGGATTAACAAAAAATGTAGCTGAAGCAGCTAGTATCGTTTTATCATGTGACTAATAATCTTAAAATTTTGTTTGACAGTAACTTTGAATTCTTTGTTTGATAAAGACGTTTGAGAAGAACTATAGCTCAATGCATCGAGAATCTTCATCATCGATCAGTTGCTCGAATCTCCTTGTACGTTTCAACTTGATTATCGGTTTTCTAAGATGTTCTCTGCATGCAAACGCGTGTAAATAGAGACCGTCGAATGCGGTTAGAACGTCAGACGAGAACGTTGATAAGTGTTATTGTCTCGGCTCCATTTGCGGTTCGGTCTGGGTATCAGCTTCCGGAATACTTAGTCAGATTTGTGTCCTGTCCCGTCGCTGACACAGTTCTTTACCCAGTACGGCTAAACCGGCGACGCAGCACCGGGCGGCGGATCCGGCGGTGGCTCCTGTTTATCCGCGGTTTTTAAAGCTGGTGCGCATCAGTAGCGTTGGTATATAATCTATATTCCGACACACACTTTACATCACTATACCGCGGACAAAATTTGAATTGTGCCATAATTAATGATAGCAAAACAGGATGTCGCAACCCTAAACATGATTTTATCGTTGCGGATCGTTTTCCGTAATCTTCTTGAAGAGAATTGCGGTACGATGATATATGCCGTCGCATATATTCGCGATCTAGATGATTGCACAGATTCTTCTGCGATCACAGATAAGAAGATTCTTCGGAGTTGTATCGATGACTGTACTTGGTTTATGCCTATTGCATTGTAGCGTTTTTTCCCCGCAAGCTTTATTTATATACAATCGAATGCAACCCAAGCATCAGTAGCGTTGGAAATTTCGAGAAAAGAAAGATTGACATGAAATAGAGATAAATGATGAAATAATAAGAGTCGATTTATATTAGTCGCGATTTTGCACGAACCGCAATATAAATTTATTTAAAGAAAATAGTACTCTTGCAATAATTTCTTACGCATATTCTCTCTCTCTCTCTCTCTCTCTCTCTCTCTCTCTCTCTCTCTCTCTATTTAGCTTGAATTAATAAATCCGCTCTTTCATTATTACTCGAAGCGTCTCGGTTTTCCTGTTTCGTCAGCAGATTTGTGGTCCAGAGAAGTTGCGTTCGCTCTGTGGGTTTTTCCGGTCTTCCTGAAATCTCTCTCTGGGGGAAATGAATGAGAAATCATAACGTAAAACTCGATTTCTTCAACGATTCACGTTTAAATATTTCGTTTTTAGCCGAATATTTTAATAAAAGTAAACTGATTTACGATAGTTAATTATAATTTTTCAGAAACTATTCTTTATGTCCTATGTGCTTAATTATGTATATAATTATTTTACATTTAATGATCTGATCTACTTTAAATTAAATGTTACATTTTATTTGTTACAGTGACTGGACCCGAGAATGGAACCGACCAGGAACAGGAAACGCAAATTGATGTTGCATCACCATCATCAAGTGTAAGTATATTTTAGGTGATTTCCATTTAGCAATATAAATCGACACAAGCATCATTCTATCTTTTTTAAACATCATCAGTAACAACAAAAATAGAATGACACTTGTGTCGTTAAATGGAAAATACACTTTATCATATTTCAATACGTACAAAGTTTGTTATGCATGTAATTTAGTATTTTGGTAATAAATTGAATAAACTTTATAATTTTTTTAAGAATAAAGCTTAGTAAAAAGATTTAGTAAAATCAGATACATTCATAATAATGACTCATTAATTAAAAGCTATTCATTTTATCAGAATTAAAGAATGATCAATGGGGATAAGAATATTGTAGCGTTGTTAATAACGAAATTGCGAAGTTATTTTAAGTTGATGCATTGTATCTTCAATATCTTTTCCCTCAAAAATGTAGGTTGAGCTGTCGGAGAATGGCGCGCATCCATGCCCGACGTGCCCGTCGGTATTTTCCAATTCCCACGAACTGACGAATCATCTGCGCGGCCACAATTCACCTCGCAGCACAGACTGCAGCGGCGAGGAGGACTACAGCTGCGGCGTATGCAACAAGGTGCTCAGCTCGGCGAGCTCGCTGGACCGGCACGTGCTGGTGCACTCGGGCGAGCGGCCGTTCAAGTGCAAGTATTGCGACATGTCTTTCACGACGAACGGCAACATGAATCGGCACGTGAAGTGCACCCATCGGATGGTGTCGCCGAACAGCTGCACGGATTCCGAGGGCAGCAGCGGCTCGGAGAGGCCAGCGGCGACGAGCCAGGACGAGTACAATAACAACGAGATAGCCAGGCATAACTCATCAGACCTGATCGACGATCGGGAGCAACCGTCGCCCAACAACCGCGCGAACAAGCGGAAGTGCCCGGACGAGGATGTCAGCGACGTGGAGGACCAGAGGAAACACAAGATCCTCCTGAACAACACCAAGATGACGATCAAGTACCGACCGGAGGACGAGCAGAAAGCCTTCGGCTGCCCGATCTGCGGCCAGGATTTCGCGAGCAGCGCGATTCTGGAGTCCCATATGGAGCGCGTGCATCCGGGCGCCCCGGCTACGTGCGAGGCCTGCAACCTGTCGTTCAAGAATCATCGCGCACTGAATCTTCATCGTTCGATGAGACACTACAAGAAGAGCCCGGAGGGCAGCAACAGCCGTAGCCTGCGCAACACCGTCGACGGTTTCAAGGATCTGACCTTCATCGACTTCTCGTCCATCAAGTTCCCGACGATCGCCCGGACGGTGTGCGAGCGCGAGCTGCACCGGCCGGCCTCCGGCGAGACCAACAGGTTCCAGTGCATGAAGTGCCTGCACGCGTTCCCCTGCAGGCAGGCACAGCTGGCCCACGAGAAGGAGTGCAAGGGCCCCTACAAGAACAAGAGAAACAGCAATGACAACAATAATAACAACGACATCAGTACTAACAACAATCTCGAGACAGAGCTGGACGATTCGAGCCCGCAGCCCGACGATCTCAAGACGAAGCGCGAGATCTTCTTCGCTGTGCTGGACCTGCAGAACAAGTCCTTGGCGCGAGATGAGATGAAGGAGCCGGCGACGCGGGAACCGAGCGAAGTCAGGGAGTCGAAAGAGATCAAGGATTTAGCGGATATCCCGAGCATCCTGTCCGTTAGTCTGAACGGACTGCAGACCTTCCCTCGATCGGACGCGAGCACGCCCGAGAATAACATCAAGTTCAATCCGAACGTCGGCTCGTCAGGTTCCTCGGGCACCTGTTCGTCCGAGTACAACGAAGAGGAGGCGCAGGACGCCTTCACCGCGGAATTCCGGAAGATGAAGCTGAAGGGCGAGTTCCCGTGCAGACTGTGCACATCGGTATTTCCCAATCTGCGGGCGCTGAAGGGACACAATCGCGCGCATATGAACGTGGAGCCGGGCATGTCGTATCCGTGCAATATGTGTCCGTACACCAGCACCGACAAGGGAGCCCTGATGAAGCACCTGAGATCGCACAACGGCGATCGGCCGTTCGAGTGCTCCCTCTGCAATTACGCGTTCACCACCAAGGCGAATTGCGAGAGGCACGTGAAGAATCGTCACGGGATGATCAGCAAGGAGGACGTTAAGAACGCACTGATCTATCATCCGAGCGAGGATTCGACGAACGACAACATCGAGAGAAGCTCACCTAGGGTCGTCAGGGAAGACGTGCGGAAGACGCTTATTTATCCGAACGAGCGCGAGGAGGCTACCCAGCAGCAGCAGCAGATACATTATCCGTCTATAGCGATGGATTGTCCTGGACCGTCAAACATCCGCGCCGAGATACTGATGAATCACTATGATAAGTCGGACACGTTCACCAGAGTGAAAACGCAGGCTCTCAATCTTGTCAAAAGAAACGGAGACGAAGCAAGTCTATCTCACGATTTGATCGTGAAATCTAATTACTCGAAGATCGACGACGATGTCGAGTCGGGATCGTCGGACGGCAGCGTGTCTCTAGTCAGTGATACCAAAACGGATACACACCAAAGAATTCAAGCTAGTCCGATGAACCTGACGAAACCCTCGACAAGCTCCGGGTTGAGCTCGGGGGAGGACGGTCCGTTGGATCTGTCCATGGACGTGTTGGATCTGAGCAGGAAGCGGAAGAGGGAAAACGACGATTCCGGCTTGCAAGAGGAGAAGCGGTTTAAGAACAGCCAGCAGGAATTGTACGCCACGAATCCGGCGCTGCTGCTGACCCAGGCCCTGCTGAACAGAGCGCGCGAGAGCTCGCCGACGACGTCGCTGGAGACTCTATACGCGAATACTATTTATCGCAATTTCGGCACGTTGACCGGTGCCGGCATGATATCGCCGTACTTCCTCGGTCCTCACATGTTCAGCCAGGAACTGGCCGCGAAGGGCAGGCTGCAGAAGGAGCTGGTTAGGGGTTTGCAGCTGACTGGTGGCGGCACACTCTCGGTTGATCCGTCACTGCCCAGCACCAGTTACGCGGCGTATCCGCAAGCGAGGGACACCCCGCAAACCACGAACGAGCAAAACGCTTATGCGAATCTGATGAGCGCGCAGATCACCAGCCAGACCACGCCGAGCCGCGAAAAACCGGACGTTATTCCGTCGAACGATCCCGTGAAGATGGTACTCAAGAACGGAGTGCTGATACCCAAGCAGAAGCAGCGCAGATACCGGACCGAGAGACCTTTTACCTGCGAGCACTGCACGGCGAGATTCACACTGAGGAGCAACATGGAACGGCACATCAAGCAACAGCATCCGCAGTACTGGAGCCAGAGGCCCCGCGGCGGACATTCGACCAGAGGCAGACCACCCGCGAGCCATCCGACTATGGTATGCAATTAGAAAATTTCTATTAAATTTAATATATTTCAGATATAGTGAAGTAGTGCCTATGCGCGAACCGACACGAGTGTTGATGTGTGTAATAATTTTTTTAATTGTTACAATACAATATACAACCACATATACACTGCGCGTTGCATTTTTGTCGGCACTCGGTTTATCGGCATGTGGCTGCATATTGTAACAATAAAAATTATTATACACATCCGTGTTGATTTGCATAGGCATACTTCACTACATCTGATTTATTCCTGGGAGCCTAATTCTTTCAATTTAAATTTATTTTAATACATTTCATGTGTCTCAAATGGTTCACTCAAATTTTTGTTCTTATTTTTGTGTTAATTTAACATTACATTTAACATTACATTTAATACATTTCATGTGTCTCAAATGGTCCACTCAAATTTTTGTTCTTATTTTTGTGTTAATTTAACAAAAGATGAATATGTTAAAAAAATAACACAAATACTTTATAGAAAAATGTAACACTGGCATTTATAAGCAAACTGTAGAAGCATATTTTAAAAAATTAACATTTATGATATGTTAAATTTACATACATTTTATTCATTTATGTTAGAATTTAAAACACATTATGTTATTTTTATGTTATTTATTCTCTTACTCATAAATAATTGTGTTATTTTGACATTAAGAATATTTAACACAAAATATTTAAATAACATAATCACATTATGTTATATTAACACTCGAATATGTTAAAAATATCAACACAAAATTTTAACAAAAACTTGACTGCACCATTTCTAAAAATATATCGTTTTACAAATGCAAAATGTTTTTTAATGTATACAGAATACTGGCCCATCGACCTCGCAAGTACCTCAACCATATTCGAGCATTCTTCCGAATGTCGACACGCCGGTCACGTCGACGGACTACGGCACGCATCCCATCTCGGATCAAGTAAAATACGCGATTCTGGCGCAACAGCTGAAGGCTAATAAAATAGAAGACAATGAATCGGACGACGAAATGGTGATAGACGAGGAGTCAGCCGATCGGGACGCACAGGAGTCGCAAGCTCAACGTGAGCCTAGCACGAGCTTGCTGAGAGATCAGTTGGAAAGTAGCGAAGGTGTCAAGGACATCGTCGTAAAGACGGAAGCGGCCGAGCCCGCGGAGGATACCTCGGAGGAGACCCACGGCGAAGAAACTGCACGAAGTAAGATCGACAATCCGGAAGAATCCGCAACGGCTGAAAGCAACTCAGTACGCGCTGAGGAAACGATCACGGCCGAATCCACCGAGAAGGAGCAAGGCAAACTCGAAGACGGAACGCCCGACCTCGCTAGTGTCTCGAAGCTCTTGGACAATGCGTCTCAGCAATACCAGCAATTTCAGCCGCAATACCTGAGCGACGAGGAGGGCCCCGTCGCGTCGACCAGCGGCAACAATTCCGGCAGCGAGAAGTCCGACTCTATGAACTCCTTGAACTCCGGGAATGATTCCTCGTCAAACAAGAAGAGGAAAAAGAAGAAGAAGTCCGCGTACTCGATGGCGCCGAACCGCGTCGTGTGCCCGTACTGCGAGCGTCAGTTCCCGTGGACCTCGTCGCTGAGACGACACATTCTCACCCACACCGGCCAGAAGCCGTATCAGTGCATCCACTGCTCGCATCACTTCACCACCAAGTCCAACTGCGACCGCCACCTGCTGAGGAAGCACAAGGCGAAGGCGAACAAGATGCGCCGCGCCAGGAACTCGTCCTCGCCGGACGTCCAGGTGGTCGCCAGCAGCAGCAGCAGCAGCAGCAACGGCAACAACACGTTCTCCATGAGAAACGTGCCCGAGAGGCCGTTCAAGTGTAATCAGTGCCCGAGCTCGACGTTCGCTACGCTGGGCAATCTGAAGAAACATCGATCGAGCAAGCATCGCAAGACCGCGTCCAGGTCAGAGTCCAGCGATCAGCAGAACAGTCCGCCGCAGTGCGCCACGCAGAACGACCAGAGCGATTACGAGAGCCGCTCGTCGAGCATGTCCGACAACATGGAGAACACGCCATCCACCGTCGCGGCCGCGAAGCCATCTTCCAACACGTCCCCCTCGATAAACGACACCACCAGGTCGCGCAAATCGCCGAGATTGTCGCCGAGCCCCGGTGATGTACCCTTCAAGTGTTACCTATGCGACAGCGGCTTCTCGGAACGCCAGGATTGCTTGGACCACATCAAGATGAATCACAAGCGCTCGTATGAGATGCTGAAGGCCAAAGGCGCCCTCGACATGGCGTCGATGAACATAGACGCGACCGAAGATCAGATGTTGGCGTCGCACCAGCATCCCAGTGACGGAGAGGAGAAGAAAGGACGTTTTCCCGATTACAGCAACAGAAAGGTAATAAGGTACAATGGAATTGTAAAAAAATTTCTAGAAAGATATGCATATCGAGGCGAACGTGATTAAAATAAATAAATAAATAAAAAAAGAAAACGATGTCGAATATACATTGTTCTAGATGCTTTTGCTAGTTCGCGTCGCTCGAATAGTAATGTGATCGAAGTAACACTTTATCTCCTCCCCCCCAGGTTGTGTGCGCTTTCTGCATGAGACGGTTTTGGTCCGCGGAGGATCTCCGGCGTCACATGAGGACCCATACGGGCGAGAGACCCTTCGAATGCGACATCTGCACTAGGAAATTCACGCTCAAGCACAGCATGCTGCGCCACCGTAAGAAGCACGAATCGGTGGACTCCGCCATGTACATAGGCAACAGCGGTGACGAGGAGAACTCGCCGGCGCAGCCGCCGACGATAACTCCCAGGAGTCAGCAGCACTCGCCGATCTCCACCAACACCCGGCCTCGCACCCAGGACAGGATGTCCCTGCCGACCGTCGCGGCGGTGGCAACGGCTGACGCGGCGCCCTGCGCCCTGATGCGGTACAATCACTACGACAACATGGCCACCCTCACCGGGAGAATGGCGAACGATGGTTCCCAGGGCGCCGCTCCCGCCCCGCCTTCCCCGCCGCCACCGGCGGAGGTGCCCAGCGAGAGCGGGGACAACGACCTGATCTCCAACTTGCTGGGGATACGCGAGAAAGGTTTGCTCGACAAGGTCCTTCTGAGCTCGGCGGACGATGCGGCGAAGCTGTTGGGGGTGAACCACAGCGAGTGATCGGGTGATCGATCGCGTAGGGGAGCAGCAGGGCGCGATCAGACACATAAATCGTGTGAATAGATTGGATTGGGAGTAGATATAGATTTGATCCGAAATTAAATGTTGTGTACGGAACTGTACTCGCGAAATGTAATGTATGGTATTAATCGATTACTCTAAACAGAGAGTATGAGTAGACAAAAAAAAATCGGAATTGTAATTTCCGCTTATCGTAATGTACCGTTCGAAAGATTATTAGAAAATTAAAAGTTTTCATCAACGTCTGATCGCACGCCACTTTTTCCTACGGCTCGTGAGAGCACAGAAGATATACCCTTAGATTATTTGTCGTATCCTTCGATTCTCCATCTAAGGTTCACGATCGTGCCTTATACTCCTTATCAATTTGTCGCACGTGTTCGTATAAAAACACCGTAGTGTTTCAAAGTTTATCTGATGAAATCAAATGTGAGTAGTAGTCGCGAGTGTCATTATACGCTGCATATGAAATATTACGGTTCGTAACGAGAACACATCAGGGATTGTCAACGAGTTTGTTTACATTGCAAAAAGTAGGTGATACGAATGAATCAATAGGAATAATTTTTTTTACGCAAATCATGTCTTATTATTTTAAACTAACGTCCTCGATTGAATCTTTTTTTTTTATATAATCTTAATTTTGTATGATAGGAACTTCGATGTATAAAAAAATCACGAATATAAGCGTTCTCAAAGTCAGAAGAAATTTAGAGACGTAGTTTCAAGAAGTTTTTTTCGATTCGTTTTGCGATTCACCTATTTTTTGCACAAATACTCGCCGTGACTTACGGTAAAGATATATATTATTTGCTATCATGACGTACATTTTCATTATCATTGAAAATATCTGCGCTGCATATTTTATTCAGTTTAATAGCTGATGAGACACGTTAAAAAAAATAATGTTACATGATGCATCTTCCTCTTTTGTCAACACATCCAAACTTCATATTTATAACACAAATTCCTTCGTAACGCCATGAGCCTTCATTACGAGAAGCGCATTCTTCGTGACTTCGTACGCCTTTGTTTCATGTGTATGTGTGTAGACACGCACATACACACACAAAATACAAAACATATTCTGGAAATATACATGTATATATATTTAACAATCGAGTACGTACATTTAAGAGTTGATGTGATTACGACCGATATTGCTCGTGGATGCATCATGATTTCGCGAGCGGATTAAAAGTAGTTATCAGATGCATTATTGTCAGTGATGTCATGAAATGTGCATACATATACATATATATATATATATATATATATATATATATTTGTATCCACGTTTCATGCGCAGTATTAGGTGTACGATCGCGCGATTCTCAATTATATCTCAGTCTCAATAACGCCGTTGCGGCGGGATGTTCGCAAGAAAAAAAAAGGAAAAGAAAAAGAGAAAAGAAGAACAGGCTTCCTCGTAAAATTCGAGAAGCTGGACTTGCTGCTTTTCGCTTCGCCAACCGGGCGGACGCTGCATTTAAATCCAAAGATGAATTCATTTTACGCAATGAATTATTTCTAAGTTAGCCATACGCACTAGGATCTTATTTATTGTTAGTTATGTACTTCTACGAGAGTGAGAAAAAAAACCCGCAACTTAGGGTGTGAATGTGACTAGCACATTTAATAGTCGTTAGATTCGCCGCGACGTTACTACGGCGAAACGCGTTCGTCGGCGAACGCGCCGGCATTTCTGGACCCGGATGTTCCGCGGGACCACTCCCGACCGCGACTGATCACGCGGGAGATCTCGAGGTCGATCTTTGCACGTCAGAGTGGTAAGGGGGAATTCGTTCGTTCAAGGATCGCGGCTCGCAAATAGCTGTATATGTATACCAATCGCGTCGATCTTATCTTATTGTTCTTTTTCGAGCGGGACAGCGAGCGAGACGAGATGCAATCTTCGCGAGACGATATGTGGAAGCGTGCGGAGCAATATGTACGATGAAGTTTATATTCACTACCAATCAATTAGAATGGTAATGTCTCGTCGCCCTTACGGAATTTTACAATTAGTGTATATAGATAGCTCGGTTATCTTTCGCGGATGCAATTATACCAAATGATTAATTTGACTATTGAAGTAGCTATAGGTACTTAGATTAGAGCGTGAAATGAGAGTTAGACGGCAGATTTAACTAGGCCAAAGGGAAACGATTTGTATTTCCTATTCCTTCACCCTGTCCCCCATCTCTTGTTGTTAGTTTGTGCTTTCGCGCAGTCTCGTACCCCGTCTCTACTTACATCACATTCTCTCTTCGATCTCCTTCTCCTCCCTTTGTTTCTACACACAAATACAAACACACGTGCATACATACATACATACACACATGTATACACATATAGAGATAAGATATTTATTATTTTATAACGGAGACGATTGTACATGGCTGTAATATGTTTTAGCCAAGTCCGAAACCGAGGTTGGGAATAAGCGACTATTCGCTTTTGATCTCGTCCCGGCGCATCTCCTTGCGATGCCTCTGTCGCAGGACGTTTGAGCAGATTCAGCCTCCGTCCATAAAAAAAAAGAAAAAAAAAAGAAAGGGTTCAGTCTCTTTACAAAGCGTCAAATTCCGCGGCGTTTTCGTAAAGGAAAAATGGGTTTCCCTTTGAAAACGGGTCGAATTTAACAAATATCTTGCGATAGACACACCACGCATAAACGCGTTAATTAAGGCTTCTTTGCGCATACGTATGCTATAGGCGAACGAAGGAAAATTATATTTATCGAAACGAGTCCGTTAGAAACCTCCTGAGTGACATTTTCTCCTCCCCCGACTGTCGTGAAAATTAAGGATATCAAATAATCATTGTAGCGCACGTGTACATGAATAAGTTATATTCTCTAATTTAAACCAGGAATAATAATAAACATGATATGCAATGGAATCAATGTATGATCATCTTTTATTTCCTTTTATGCCTTGTCCTTAGAACATATACTAAGGCCTTGTCACTATCGAACAATTATTCTTATTTAACTTCTTGAATATAACAAAAAATCCCTTCGATTTATCGTATAAATTCGCAAAGTAAACGTTCTGCAATCTGTAGTTCAATTATTAAATCATGCAATTGAATTCTTAAAAAGATAATAAGAAAAAGATTTAATTAAAAATTAAAAAAATTAAAATTACTATAGTTTTAAGTTTTTAAAATAATTTATATTATATTACTATTATATTTTATAGTTCTTAGAGTTTAAATTGGCATTGGTGAAATTAAAAATAAATTTTTATGTGCGATACACATGATATCTACTCGGCAAAAATCAATTCAATTGAACATGTATCTAATAGACGCTGATTTGCTATTTTATAATATTGCCGACATGATACTGCATATCTGTACACTATAAAATTCTTGTATGTTCTTTTTTTTATTAAAACTATTATTTGATATTATAAATACAGCTTTGGCCATAAGTTTAAAGCACCCCCACAAACTGACGTAAATTCTGTATTTAGCAAAAAGAAATTTTAAAAAGTTTAATTAAAAAATAGTTTTTATAACAATTTTAATATTTTAGTAGTTTTCCTTTGACTTTTATTAGAAAATTATTTTCCCAGAAAAAGCAATAAATTGAGTGTGCTTTATACTTATGGCTATAATACATAAGTCTTGTATATATCATTTTACTAAAAAAACAATGTTTGTAGTGTAAAACTTAAGACTTATATCACCATTGACAAACTACACATCAAAACGATGCGCAAGACATTAAAAAAATTTTCTTCAGTCGCATTCTTTTAATAAATCGTAAAAGTAAAGCATTATACTTTATATTATCTAAAAGGAACGAGCGTGCAAACGAAGAGAGAGAATTGTATCTCTTTACAGAGATAACGATTTCAATTTATCCGCCAACGTCGAAACTGTATCGACAAGTATTTCCTCCTTCTTCGCCTTCCACAGGAGATCCTGCGTTTCCTTCAGGTGCTTCATTACGTAGTCGTCGGTGAGATACGGCGCTGTACCGCCACCGTCTTTTTTCTCGTAAATGAGAAACCATTTGATCATATTTCTGTATAAGTTGTCGTAGAAAATTTGCGGCGTGTTAAAAGTCTTGCCCATCTCCGCGATGATCATTTCCTCCAACTCGAACTCGGAGGGCTGGTGTACCATGAACACCAACTTTCTCAAAAAGCCACGTATAAAATTGTCGTCTAGTGCTATGCCATTTTTTTTCATAAAGCCAATATGTTTATTCATAATGCCATACAAGCCTATCATTACTCCTGGCTCCTTTTTTAATACGTTTATGTCAATGCGATATCTTATGCCCTTCCCCTCGAAACTGTAAAGTTTATCATTCTCTACTGGCACCAAGAACTTAAATCCACTCATAGTCATGTTTGTAAAAATCGTTAGATCCACGATTTGATCAGGCGTAATCTTCTCGTAGCTGTAGACCATGTTTATGTAGGATTTGAATAAATAAAACAGACTGCCCAGACGATGCAACTTATTCTGGGATGTCAAATAGTTAGCATTTATATTGGAGTTCTTCTGTAAGGACCTCTTGTGCTTGATCTGTATGAAACGATACATATATTTTTGATCGGAGGTGCTTCCGTCTCCCTTCAGTGTATCATTAGTAGTGTATTTCAAAACCAAATCGTGAAATCCACGCGCATTCGCTACTTCCGTAGCCAACCGCCAATTGCTGATTTTTGGATCGTTCTGGCACATCAGCCTCCATGTGACCCAGGTTAACAACTTCATCTGATACATCACACCGCTGGTGCTGCCGGTTTTTAAGTACGAGGCTGCATACTGGTCGTTCGATTCTGCGGAATTAATTATCTGCATTACTATAAAACTAAGATGACGATATGTACACGGACAAAATTTTATTTTAAAATTTACCCTGAAAATCATGTTAATTGTGGGACAATATGGTATCCTCTGTTTTTTTTTACTATGCACAATAAATTTATAATAGTATATATTTTACAAAACAGTGAAAATCACATAAAATTTGTCGACATACTATGTTGTCCCACAATTAATATGATTTTCAGGATAAATTTTAAAATAAAATTTTCTCTGTGTGTATAGATATACATATACATATAATAAAAACTTATGGTAATGATTTTTGTTATATAACGAAAGAATTGTAATCGTTAATAAATAAAATATTTGCCATTTTATAGGCGTAAACATTGTAACTATTATATAAAACAGAATTTTAATACAAAGCTTGTCAAATTTGATAACGGAGAAATATTAATTAGTTACTTCTAATATTATTGCATATATAAGAAATGATGCTACGTAATGTTTGCTACAGCATTGGCGTTTTATAAAAGTTAAATTTTTAAAACATATATTTTACAAGTATTAAAACTAGAAAAAAACTTGATTGAAAGTTAAGATAAATTTTAAAATTATTAGAATTAAATAATATCTTACAAAGAAAGGGACTCAAGTGTCCCCCTCTGATTTTAATGAGCTTTAAATGTTGTTTTCTAGATAAAAATAAGGAACATTTTTGTATAATCTTACCCCACTTTTAAGGGGTAAAACTTTCTTTAGAAAAAAGAAATCTTTTCTATTTCGAAGTGAATATCGTCAAAACTATAAGATAGAAAAAAAAATGTTTAAAATAAAAGTTGAATGATTTTAAAAGTATTTAAAAATTTAAAATTAATTAATTTTTTATTGTTTATTTTTAATGTTAATTTTTTATTTTTATAACTAATTTTTCTTTCTAAGGAATATTTCACCTCTTAAAAATGCAAAGAAGCACGTATACAAAAACATGTATCCCTTAGAATGTATCCCTTTAGAAGATAATAAATCGAAGATAAATATTTGAATCCCTTTCTTTGTCAGAATTAATAAATATTAGTAGATTATTATAAATTAATTTAGGAATTGAAAGATCTATATATGATAAATCACTATATATGATATATATGATATATATGATATATATATCTATATATATCGCAATGTCAATTACAAGGATTGATAAATCAACTGAATTGTTTGAAAGAATTTTAGCGCAGAATAAATCTGGCACAGAAGAAATGCTGATAAAGAAGAAATATGAGCCGCTCGTTAAATGACATATGATTCTTAGTGCGATTAGAGAGAGCGAAAAAGACCCTCTATGTGGACCGTATTGTCTGCTGTCAATTCATTTCAAGAAATGCTTGTTCAACAGCATTGTGTGACTTTACATTTATGTTATTTGATTGGGGAGAAAGAAGAAGCTAAGATAATTCGGTATTTATTGCAAACCTTGACAAAGAACTGTATCACGTGTTGTTATAAGTCATCGAGGTTGCGATTATATATAGGGGCAATAATGATATCACATTTGATTACACATCGGTTTCCGATTATTTTGTTTATTAAAGGCAAACAATGACTAATGGGAAAATTGTAACTATAATTTATTTTAATTTTGATGCACACAAAGTACAATTTTATATACATAGCGTATCCTTGCAAGACAAGTTGCATAAATCAAAATTTTTCGAATTTCGTATCACTTTTCGTGATTGAAGGTCGATGTATCTATCTAGAACACGATCCTATATATAATACGAAATTTGAAAAAATTTTAATTCGTCACTTTTCTTGCAGGAGCATGATTTGTACATATAAATATATATATTTAATTATATATATATATATATATATATATATAAACTATAAATAAATATAATCTATATATGAATTAAAATGTGAATAATAGTTAACTATTAATACTTCTATTATTGCTTTAATTAATAATAGAATTAGAATTCGAAAAATAATTGTAACAAATAAATTATAAAATGTACGTTGCAAATAATTCATCAGCAATAACGAGTTCAATTCGTTCTGATGTTGTTACAGGAAGGAAAAGGAATCGAGACGATGTTTGCGTCTGCGATGTAGATATGCGTCAGCGCTAAAGGTAGATTAAGTGTAAAGCGGTTCGTCTGATACGCCGAGATCGGCTGCACCGCGATATTGTCAACATCGATTGATGTTAGCCGGCACGTGCCGGAATCTTTGTTCGCAGTAAAAATACCGTAGCATTGCAACGGTCGTCGACGTTAAGCACACCTGACGATCACGATAAATATTCGAATTGCGAAGTGGTATAAATGCGTAAGTTATTAAAATGATTTTCTACGGATTTGAAAGAGAGTTCGTGTTTTCGAAGTATTGTTAATTCTCACTTCGCTATTGTGTATACGCGAGCGCATCTATTTTTAGAGTTATCTCATATCCTGTTTCGACAAAATGTATTCAATAAATGGAAGATTCATCCATTTATCAACAATTGCATGACATCGGTAGATGAACCAACGCAATTTAGACGATTAAAACGGAATGGAATGTGACTAAAATCTAAAGAGAAAATATTTGATAGAACTATACATAAGTTCTCAAATTTTAACGTGTTATCAATTCTAAATGTAGAAGAACTATTCTTTAAATATTCTAACTGCATGCAGTTATGGACAAAGAAATAATATAATGTTATTGTATGAAAAGTGATATATAAAAAAATATATATATGTTCTTTGAAAGATATATATATATATATATATATATGCGTAAAGCATGATGCAACTGCGTATCGTGATTGGAAGGTTTAGGTGATATAATGTTTCATAGAGAAATATTCTGCAGAGAATATTCTTATTTTATATTTAAAAAAAAAAAATATATATATATATATATATATATACACATGCGTTAAAGCATGACGCAACTGCGTATATAGTGATTGGAAGGCTTAAGCGATATGACGCTTTTTAGAGAATTCAAGAGAGAATATTCTGCATTCACACACATTGCGTAAGTATTCGGCTTGGCGCTTAATTGCATCTAACAATAATGACACTAACGATTACGTATAAATTTCGAAATCACCGATCTTCCGCGATTGCTGCATTGCAACAGAACAAGCATGGCAAAGTTAATACACATACACGCGTACACATACATACACGAGAATGCCATTTATCTCCGTTATACATAAATCTACATACAAAACTGCAATAATTATATATATAGTATATACTGACCGATCGCGTTGGCATGAACCTTCTTGGCCGGTTTCGTTTTCTTATTCTCCATCTGTCCGATGTTCTTAATGCTCGTTAAAACGGATTTAGCACTCTCACTCGTCCTTTTCGTCAGCGAATGCACCGATATTCCAGTTGGATCCGATCTTAACTTATTCGTTGCGTGGCATCGATTCGTCATATGCGCGACGATTGCCTCTCGAAGACTGAGGGGAACCGGGAAAGCCCCGAGCGGCACAATGACTCTCTCAGGAATCCCTGCATAGTGCATTCCCTGCGGTGCATATGGGTGGGAGGAGAAGGTCGAGTGGTCGTTGCGCACACTTGAGAAAAAATATTTAGAAATGAAGGCGATAATAAAGATAACAAAAGCAGCCTGCTGCCTGACGGTTGGGAATGAATGAATGGACGTGCTTCAGTATAATATATTTCTTTAGAACGTACTTCTATCTATCCGTAGGGTATTTAAAAAAAAATTTACGACGAGAAACGTAAAAGACATACAATAAAAAAACTGTACAACTGAGAATTGAGACGCTTCTCTCAAAAGTAACCGAACTGCCAAAATTCAGTATTTTACAGCGTTAATAGTTTAATTATTAATTAATAAGTTAATTATTAACTTATATAAGTTAATCACTCTTCTAAAATTATTAACGTTTTAAAATAGGAAATTTAATTTCTGCAGTTAGTTATACTTTTGCGATAAGTGCCTCAATTAACAATCATCGATTTTTAAAATTTATTACATTAATAGTTATATTGGATGTCTCAGATTTTAACGGTCAAACTGTATTAATGTGTATTTTTAAGAGTGAACATATAATAAGAAACAAATGCTAAATGAATATATAGTTCCCATACAAGATTGATTAAGGTGCAGGTTTTATCGCTCAACTCGATAATGTGACGTTGTCACATAAACGTTACACAATCGCACATGTACAGTCTATGCAAAATGTTTTTATTGAATTATTAGTATGGAGGGACTAACTTTTGACTGAGACTTGCTCGATAAAACCACCTTAAAAAGTTGAAATAAAAAAATATAAGTGTCGCGAATGAAAAAAAAATCTGCTCTTATTTCTAATAGTATACAATTATACATATACGATTTTATTAATGTTCTCTTTGAAAATACCGTTTCGTCTTTTATCAATTTCAAAGGGAATACATGCGATACGAGAGATTGTTTTTCACAAAAAAATTGTACAGATCGATGAAGCAGATTTTCGACAAAGAAAATATTTTTAACTGTTTTAATGAACATGTCGAAGCATGCGGATATAAATGATTGATTGTCTGGCGCAATCCCTTGGCCTTCAAGATTGTGAGATCTCACACTAAATTTTTTTTGCTATAATTTTTTAATAAAGCTCTTATGAATTTATATTTACGTAGCATATTTTTAGTTTGTCCATAGAATACTGGCGCAAAATTTGGCCATTAAAATCTAGGAGACCTTGTAATATCAACCTATACATGGCAATAAAATATTAATATTCAAATATTCCTTAAATAATTATAATTGTAATAATTACAGAAAGAATTAGTAATTATTATAAAATTATTATTTAAGAAATAATATTTTTATGTCAATATTTTACTTGTTTTTTTTTTAAATTGGTTTTTCATTGCAAGGATAAAGAAAGATAAAGATCAGTTTATTTCTCGGAAAGATAAGTAAAATAATATCGATAATGAAGCAGTAATTAACGTTTATCAATTTGTTATCAACATTTATACGGAATATCCCTATAAGAATATGTCATATCTGTCGTGTTACCACAACAAATTTATAATTATAAAATTCAATCGAATCTAGAGACATTTTCAACTCAAATGCTCTCTAGGGAAATGTTAATTTTTATACAATGGTACGCTCGTAATGTTCTACTGTAATATGAATGTTATGAAATATATGAAAAGCATTAATATAAGCGTTATAAAGAGGGGAATCTCTCTTTCAATTTTGTATATATTTGGTATGCTTACGCACATATAAAGATTAAAATATTGAGTCTGTTATTCTATATCTTTTTTTTATTAAATGTCATATCAAATAATTTAATCATTTTCATGAGAATTGTGGATTAAGGTTGAGAACTGGAAAAAATTGTATTTCCCATTTTCTTTTTGATAGTACTTTTTATTTTGAATATTATATCTGGCGAATAATAATGATTACTTAAATAAAATCATGTATTACGATAAATGAAGCAAACATCACTATGTACATATAAATATTACATGATTCGCTAAATCGCATTCTACCGGAATGCACTCTATGAGTGGCAGCTTATATAATCTACGCGCGGAAAAATCGTTTTAGCGTACTAACTGCGAGATATTGTTAAAACTTTTACTTTCAACATTCCCTTTCAACACTATATTGGAAAAAGGCGCACTCTGTTAAAAATTCAACATCTGAATTCATCGGACAATCTAACATCTCAGCTTGTAGCAAATAGTGCTATTAGCTCACTTATACAAACATGTGCTTTGTATTGTAATATGACGCGCAAAATCGGTCCCGATGTGTGCGCTGTCAATTTTCGTAAGGCGAACATTACCTGAACATCGAGGACAATCAGTGGGACTCGGAACAATCTATTTAGGAAAGCAATTATTTAGGAAAGTCACACAGGAAATGTCGCCAGTAGAAACGATGTCGGTTTCACGATTTTTTTTACGATCCAATCGCATGTAACGCCACATTAAAGATCATTTTGTTTTTTTAAATATATTTTGCCCTTTCTTAACGGCGGTTTATAGTTTACTTCAGATATACTTAAGACGTTTAAAATAATCTTAATGGAGATACATGCTTCTTTTATACGTATTCTATGCAGGGTACATGTATTTTTTTTTTTTTTTGCATCGACTGTGTGCTGAAAATTGCAGAATCAATGAAAGATAGATCCACGAAAGGAATGGAAGATAGAGGAAAAATTATGTATATAAAGAGATCTCTAATTCTTTAATAGATAATATAAAAATCTGTCGGAGATATATTCATTTTCAACCATTTATGGGCATAAATTATTCATGTAACTAGGCAGCTCTCATATATCTGTATTACTCTTATTATTTACGATCAAGCAACTACTACGCGCGAATTCAGCTATTCTCAATTAAAAAAAAAGCTTATGGAAGTTCTTACTGGCGAAACGTCTTCTAGGAAGACTCTCTTTTATCGAAAAATCTTATTAATATAATCTATAGTGGAAAAAGTATCATATTATGCACGAGAAATCTGGAACACGTTGCTTTTCGAGAGATTTAATCTCTCTATGTCGAATCTCTCGTCGCAATATCTAATATGCATATGCGTAAATATATAGGCTAGTTGTAAAAAGCAGATGCAGTACGCAAACGGAACTTTGTAAACACTAACAAGAATATATACAACTATCGGAATATCTTTTACTGTCTTCGTCATAAAATGTCATGAAAACAAAATTATGACCCCGTATTCTTATTGCACATTTAATGTTAAATGTTTTATGTAATCCATAATCATAATAATTGTTATGTATGCGCTTAGAAAATTATACACACTGAAATATTGTTCTCACTGCAAGCAAGAAGAATATTTGTTATTGCTTCCAGAATACAAGTTTGGCTAAAAAATATGTGATATATAAGAAGTAACCTTAGTAACGGTATTTTAAAATTATATTCTTCATTTTTCGTAATTTTTTTTTATGAATATAAACTAGAAACAGAAAAATGAGAGGAAAAAAGAAGAAAAGGACAAAGGAGAGAGAAAGAGAAAGGAGAGAAAGGGAGAAAGGCAGAGAGCCACATTTAATACTAAATGTGCAGCGAGTATCCTTCAAATGCATATTGAACATCAGCAAATCTATCGCATATTTCATACGGACAATGAACATCATTAAATATGCGCACTCATAAGTAACTGTAGCGTACACTGAGAATAATCGAGAAATATTAGAATGGAAAAATTATTACTTCATTAAAACTTGCTACACCGTTTGATTCATTTTCAGATCAGTGTTATGCTCCGTTGCGTCTTCCATCGAGTATCTACACATTTCAACATCCTCCGCGTTCTCCTCTGTCTTAACGGAGTCGTCAGTCACACGATCATTCTCGGTCTTACACATTTCACCCGATGTGGTAATATTATCTTCTGTTTTGATTTCTTGCTTAACTGTAAATGCCTGCTTCCTGGCTTTAGGATCCTTTTTCGCGGCGGTATCTGTTCTCTCCCTCTCATACATAAACGTTTTTCGTTTCCTCCGCATCGGCTTGCACACCTTTTTGTACAGCACATTCATCTCCTTTACTCTACTAGTCGGGATCGTCCAGTCCATCTCTTTAGCCGTCGTGTCAGAATTTCGTGTTGGATCCATGCTGCTTTCATATTCCGCAATTTCCAATCCCAACTTTTTCATCACCGCGACCATTATCTCGTCGACGTTGCCGTTAATAATCAAGTCAGCTTTCTTATCCTACAAATCGATACATTTTTATTTTTCGGTGGCGAAATCGCGAAAGACTTTGTGCGCTTTTACAAATTTATACCGTGTTATAATCTTACATGTTTCGTCTGCTGCAGATTGCATATGACGAGACGGCCTCCGTATTTTTTCGTATATAAAGGCAAATTACCACTTGGAATAATTTGTAACGTCGTTCCCAAGCATATACTTAGATCGGCGACACTAAAAGAATGTCGGTATAAAGATTCTATTTGATATTGAAATGTAACACAAAATGTGCTGTTTTAGTATTTTCAAACATTTTTATTACAGAACCTGAGACATTCCACAAGCCATACTAAAATCATGTATGCTATTACTTTAACATAATTCTTGATGCAACGGATGTTAAAGTTTGCACGCACACTAGCTTCGAGTGTTTTATAATTATTAATAGCAGAAATTATAATTATTATAATTTCCGCTACTCTGAATGCTGATATATAATCACTTACCTGGAGTGAAGATCAGACAGTGTCAAGTCGCTGTCTGGCAGATTGTGCTCCCAATCGAGAATGGTATCGTGCATTCGGCCACGGCACGGGCGACCACCTATTTGTTCCGATCTGCATACAGTATCCAAGGATTTTTTCCCCACGCTTTTAGTCGCAAAATTACGAATAAATTGTCTGCAAAATATAATTACAAAATTCTCAGCACTTTTAATATTTTTATTATAAATATTATAATAAAGCTGATAACAATTGATACCGTAACACTTTATTCGACTGAATTTTTCTCAGCGGAATTAAATATGAGTATATATATTTAATATAATATATTAATTAAAACTAAATCATTCGTAATTTTTTTATATTGCTACATTTCCTTACATTTCTTTTTATATATTTTTTTATATTATTATATTTCCTTATATTATTTATTTTACTTTAATTATTCTTTTGTGTTTATACAAACCTGCCACATTTGTCACATTGCTCTGTAAACATGTTACCATGCAGCTCAGCAAGATACTGCCTCGATATTCCTGATCGTAGATGTAGTCCATCTATATTCTGACTTATGATAAACTTTATTTTTTCTAAAAATAAAAAAAGATAGAATATAGAAAGGAGAAAAAAAACAGATGTTTAGAAAAACATTTTTTTTTTTCAAGTCTATCTGCCAACACTTACTGGCCTCTATCAGTTTTTTCAATGCCATGTGCGTCTTTGTAGGGATCGCTTCATCAAAAGAGATGTTCATGGAAGGTTTCAAACCCTTTTGTTCCAATGTCCATACGCCATTTGTACCCCTAACGCAAAGAAGGCTGTTGCTCAAATTGATACAAACACGTGTCATGTTCCAATTATGGAGTTCTCTATTTGCTCAATTTATAAATAACTATAAACTTTGCTTATGTATTTATACTTAATTTTTTTTTAATTTTAAATATTTTATAATATAAGCATTCAACTGTGCAATCGTGTAATCAGACTTGAGACACAAAGTTCAGACAAGTTATAAAAACAAGTTAGAAAAGTGTACATTTACGTTTGTGTATATATATTTAAAAATATATTAGAATATATTGGAGAAAGATTCTCCTTTATAAAAATGCATAACGACTTAGCGCTGCTACAATATGTTTTCATCCCGTACTTAAAATCTTCAAAACTCCTTTCGTGCGTCTCTCCTTCCAGGTGTATCCCTATATACATCGGACCGCAGTCTTCGCTGGAAGCGGATGTGAGAGTGGACAAAGGGATGACGGGAAGTGGGCTCACAGGAGTGCGAACAGGTGTGCAATTCATAATCTCGAGAAACAATGCGATAATCACCGAAAATCGGGAATACCCGCCGCGGTGCTGATGCCGGCGCCTGTGTGGACCACGACGTGACGCGCGCCTTGTATCCATTCGGCCAGGAGACCACATTTCAGACGAAGAGTCTCGACGCTGTCGTATCTCTGCAAGCAAAGTGGAGCAGAATGAAGGAAAGAAGAAAAAAAGAAAAAAAAACAAAGAGAAAAAAAAATAGTGCGTCACTCGACTCCGCGAGGACGACGGGGGAGTGGAAACGCCATCGCCGCGTTCACCCGCGCGTCGCCGAAAAAACATTCGTGGAACGAAGAAGAAAGAAAAAAATCTCGTCCCGCCGAGTGTGTGTATATATATATGTATTTTTTTTTTTTACCTCCTCCAGTCCCAGCACTCCTTTGTTTTCGTACGGCGATAACCCGTCCGCGTAGCTCGATGACATCTTTGCGCGTCCGCGAAGCCCTAGGTGAGTCCCGTTCCCCGTAATCTCTAATCACGACGCCTCGAGGGAACGCCACGAACGGCGATACGTGCCCGTCGTCTCACGCGAAGCGGGTACGACGCGATTTCAGTCGCGATCCGGCCGCCCTCCCATGTGCCAGACGAATACGTAAACAATATGAATCGAGAGCTAATGACCGCGTGCTGTTATGTTTATACGCTACGAATGACGATAAGTGATAGGAAACTCGAGACCCGCGGAGAACGCATTCTGTTTTATAGACTGCACTGCATGCAACGAAATGGCACTTGAACAGAAAGAAGATAATAAACCCCCCGGGGCATGCGCCCTGAGCCGCGCGCCGTAGGAGCGGCGGTCGGCCGTTCCGGACGCCGCGGACGCTCGGGTGCGTCTCGCGTGCATTCATTTCATGCACGAGCCATTTTGACCGACCGCGCGGTGCGGGAATTTCGAACCGGCCGGCGTACTCCTTTGGCGTGTCCTCGTCGAGATCGGACGCTCCTCATATCGAAGGCTGCTACGTGAAAAGTCGAGGGTGCTTATCACCCTTTCTCGTCTTTGTTATGTAGACAGGAAGATAAATTACACATCTATAATGTATAACATATAAAATAAAATAAAATTTATCTCTTTCTATATATAATTCTGTATATTATTTATATAACTATTAATTGTTAATGTATTAATATATATGTATATACAATAATTAGTTTCTAGGGTTGGGTAAAGCAATATTTTTTTTAAACTAAATTAAATTAAAGTTGATAGCTTATAAAATTATTATTCAGTTACGTTAAAAATTAAGAACGATGAATTATTATACAGTTAAGATACCACCTACAATCAGAGTAGTAAGTCGTAAACAGTAAGAAATTGACCAATCATAGTCAATTATTTTTATTATATTCCACTAAATAATTGATCAATTTCTCACGGCTTACGATATACACTATTCTCATGGTAGATGGACGCTTTAGAAATTTTATTGCAGACAGTATAGACACTTGGGCAGTTGAACCGCGACCCTTGGTTAGACGATCTCGAAAGTTTAATTAAACTTAATCGCCGACGAAATTAAACTTGACTGCCGAAATCACGCTCTCGCTCTCGAGGAATTGTTCGTATCGAAGGAGCGCTTGCCCCGTTGACGATAAAAAAAGTAATCGCGCGATTCGTCAGAAGATTCGGCGATGTGGAAATGAACTCAGGTGGCGTCCCGCGTCCACTCCCTCGTTCGCACTCTTTCGTCGCACTCACCCACGCACGCCGCGCCGTCCGTCCGTTCCGCCCGCCCGTCCGTCCCCCGCAATTTCGATTCTCCGGCGCCCTATATCACCTATATCTATATGTAGGACTTCCGTACACGTGCTGCCGCCTGTCGCCCGGTGGTCGCGTTAAAACCGCCGCTCCGCTCGAGTACACCTGCTTGGGCCGAGAGAATTGAGGGGGAACGCGCGCCGCTACGAAGAAAGATGCGGGGCGCCAGGAAAAAAAAGAAAGCCAACTACTGAGTTAGCTCCAGGTCGAGCATGCGGTCAGTCGTCGAGGGAGACGTTGCGTCGGTTCTCGCGTACAATCGGCACGTATACATACCTATACATCTACGTGTATTATCGAGAAGGAAAAAGAGAGGGAGAGAGAGAGCGAGTCGGGCGCGTTACGTCGATGTGTGCGATCAGATGATTCAAGAAACACTCCCCCTCTCTCTTTCGTTCTTTCTCTCACTCTCTCTCCCTCCCACTCTCGTGCTATCACCGCGTCTCTCTCTCTCTCACCCTCTCCCTTTCTTCTCCTCTCACTCTCACCCACTCCGGACTCACACCCTCTCCGGTATATAACCTCAAACCGTCGGCGAGCTCGTGTCGCGTCGCTTCGCTCGACGATCCGGCCGTGTGCTTTCGGCCACGGCTGAAACCGGGTTCCGGATGTGCGTGGCGCGGTTCCTGCTGGTCGCAGCGGGTGTTAGTGAGCTCCGGCGGTTTCTCACCACATGCGACTCGTAAGTACTCTGATCTCGTTTCGGCTTTTTTTTTCTTTCTCTCTGTCTCTCTCTCTCACACTCTATCTCTCTCGCCTCTCCCCTTTTCCCGTTCTCGTGCCCCGCGGTCATCGCGCGTCCTCGACGAGTTTTTTTCCCTCCTCGTGCCGGGTGAACTGCCGGGAGTCCGGTATGTATTATACGGCCTCTTCGCCGACATATCTTTCCCCGGCGAAATTTTCGCGCGTGCCGCGTGAATTCCGGCCGGGAATACCCCCTCCCGCGCGCGCGGGCGCGCGCGATTTCGGAAACGTCGTTCTCGTCGAGTTCGCGGAACGGAATCCTCCCCGCGTGTGTGTCCCTTCGGCATTTTCCACGGCGACCGTACGTCGCGCCGTGCCTTTCTTTTCCCCCCTTTCCCGGTGCGTAGGAATTTCATTTCACGGAGAGCGACATCTCCTCTCGAACGTTCCCGTTCGAAACGTTGCCTTCGGGATGTTGGAATGCCGCTTTTAGATCGCGGAGCGTGCGGTCGCCTCGGTTCGAGCTGAAAGTAAACCAAAACCGGAAAGCGCGTCTATTTTAAGTGTTGGAGTGAACGCCTCTCTGCCTTCTCGAGTAAAAGAATTTACGGACGTCCCTTTGGCGGGTGGCCTTTTGACGGAGGTAAACATTTCCTCGCGCACTCCTCTGATTGTCGTTAGATATCTTTCAGATTTTTGCTTTTCGTCCCACCTTTTCTCCAGAGACGGGAGAAAGAGAAAAAATCTAGTTTCTATTAGTGTTCATTAATTTGCATTAATATTAATATTTACACACACAATTCTCATTTTGATCTATTACTACTTTTGAATAGATTAACTTTAATCTCTTTAAGTTTAACTTACCCTTTATCTTCTTCTAATTCTCAAAGCTAGGAAAAGATAAAAAATAATACCAAGACTAAAATTAATCTACAATGATAGAAATGAATAATTGTAATTGTTTTTGATCAATCTCCGATTAATTTATCATTAATATCTGTCTGTCTCGGATTGTCAATTACTTATCGTTTGACGTATGAAAAGAAAGATTTGATTAAGAGCGACGTGTTACGTGGCAAATTTTTCTCGGATTATTCTGTGTCGGTCGAATTAATCACTCCATATGCTAAAAGGTTTTAGGAATCGTTCTTCCTGAATCTTAAATATTCTCACGTCGCTTTTGTGTGACTAGAACAAGATTGAAGTTAATCTACAATGATAGAAACGAATAGTTGTAATTGTTTTTTTTTGATCAATCTCCGATTAATTTATCATTAATATCTGTCTGTCTCGGATTGTCAATTACTTATCGTTTGACGTATGAAAAGAAAGATTTGATTAAGAGCGACGTGTTACGTGGCAAATTTTTCTCGGATTATTCTGTGTCGGTCGAATTAATCACTCCATATGCTAAAAGGTTTTAGGAATCGTTCTTCCTGAATCTTAAATATTCTCACGTCGCTTTTGTGTGACTAGAACAAGATTGAAGTTAATCTACAATGATAGAAACGAATAGTTGTAATTGTTTTTTTTTATCAACCTCCGATTAACTTGTCATTATTTGTCTGTCTTAACATGGATTGTCAATTACTTATCGTTTGACGTATGAAAAGAAAGATTTGATTAAGAACGACGTATTATGTAGCGAGAAATTTTCCTCGGATTATTTCGCCGATCGAATTAATCCGCTCCATATGCTATAGGGTTTTCTCGTTCTTCCTGAATCTTAAACACACGTAAATATTCTCACGTCGCCTTTGCGTGTATAGCGCGTATTTTTCCTCAAACGAAAGTTCTCTCTCTCTCTCCCGGGGATTTCGCTCGCGGATTTCGATCTCTGCCACTGAACAAACGAAATAATTAGGAACGGTCGGCCACGCGCGCGTCTCCGGTGCTAAATGACGCGCTAAATAAACGAGAACGCGAGGCTTTGTCTCCGATGATAAAAACACGCGCGTGTGTTTTTTTCCATATCGAGCGACGATCCGGCTCCGCGCCTAATAATACTCGTGTCGACGTGTGCGGGCTCCGCTTATCGAAGCGCGCGTTACTTCGCGCGAATTGCACGAGCGCTTTGTTGCGAAAGAAAACAATTATCTAGGATGAGATTCGAAAATCAATAATATCGTACACGCGGGCTGTTCCGAGTTGTTTGACCAAGAGTAGACGAGGTATATATACGCCGGGTGCCCCGCTTATCTAGTTATGGCACCGTACCCTGCCTTTTTCGCTTGATGTCACAACAGGCTAACACACGGAAAGTTTATTTTATATGTATGAAATAGTGTCTTTAGACGCGTGGCGGAGGCTGCCTCGGCCGACAGGCACTTTAACAAATTTGGTTCGGATTCTTCCGTAGGGAAATTGTCGTACAGTTTATATAAAATAACTATTAGATATAAATTATTATGTAAAATAACTGTTTTTTTTTATTATTACAATTTTTATACAAAACGTGTATAAAATTGTTACAGAAATTGAAATAAATATTAGAATTATATATATTATATATATATATATAT